CTTGCACTCATCCACTCACTTTTCTCACGTAGACGCTTCTGGATAACAGGTGCACAATCGGAAAGCGAGACGAGAATAAATCCCGAAAAAAGTGAGACAGGAGAGATCAGAGCCGGGTTGAGAAATGAAAGTGTGAAAGCACGTCTCGGCTTGATCCCTCGGCTCAAGAGAAAGTCCCGATAGATTTTGAAGCTCCACTTTCCCGGTCGTCGTTCCTCTTCCTCCTCGAGTCTTGTTTGTCAGTCGTTCCAAGACGTCCCGAAAACTCGCGTCCGATTCCCGCCGAGAAACTCTCCATGAATTTGTCGCTTCCATTTCTGTGTGGAACAGCGGAAAATCAATCATTCAATCAGTCAATAGCTTCCTCCTGAATGAGGCGTGCGATAGTCTCTTGCATCATTTCCCATTGGATCGTGCGCGGCGAGGGCCCAGTGAGAGTATCGGCCGTGGCATGGCGTCCTGATGCGCGACCAGTGGGAGTCTGCTCGGGAACCCAAGTCTGGGGCCTCCGCATTCATCGGACATTGTACCTATATTTAAATCCGGAGAATAAGGTCCGGTTTCTCCATAGAGGATGACAAATACGGAGCTGCGAATGCAATGGCTGGATGGAAAAATCTCGACCCAAGAAAGTCGGTCTCCGCTTTCTAAGCGAATCGGCTCCCCACTTGCAATCGCGAAGTGCCCCCGAATCGGCATCCTGTTGCGTCCTATGTCGGCCTCGAAGATCATGATTTGCAGCGCCACGAATCCTCATCTGAGCTCCGTGAATTTTTCCAAAGCAAGGCTTTCTGCGACTTGATAGTAGAGTGTGCTAATGGAAACCTCCACCAGCTGGATGCGTGATTTGGAACTTCCGGGGAAATCTGGAGATTTTGTACTTCAGTTCCCATGTCATCGACGCTATGGATCGGAGGTGATTCACCTCTCGATGATGAGGATTCCTCATCGATCTCGGGGCCAGGACGAACAAAATGGACGAATTCCTCCTGAGTTGCAGGGACTATAGCTTGCTTATACGACCTTGCGGTATTGGAGAGTTTCCTCCGAGAATCGACGTCTGCGCAACCGGACAAAAGACAGCCGCAGCAGAAGATTCCGAGCGAGAGGCTCGGGGCGGAGTGTTCGCTTCGGGGAGAGGTCAAAAGGAGCAGTATAAATAAATCGAACTCAGAATACCGAGTCCCGCCTGCTCGGAGTAGATTCGACGAGAAGCCAACTTGAGGGAACGACTTGAGTATCAGCGGCATTGGCATTTGGAGCAGTGAAGGCAGGAATCGGGTAGCGGGCTTTAAAATCGGCTCGACACAATTCGACTGCGGAGAAATTGGATTGGAATCAATGCAGGAAAAAAACGCAATTCTGCAGCACGCTGACTTCTTCTGCCTTTCGCCTTCTCGCTCGCTTTCCCTCCCTCCTCTAAGCTCGCTTTCTTCCCCTTCGCCGTGCATTGTATGAGATCGATGACTCCGGCTTGAGTTCTCCTGTCTCCTTCACTCCTTGTTATCCTCATCCTCCTTATGCTTTCCGTCCTCATGTTCCTCCCTCGAATCCTGTTCCCTCCGGGGTCATGGCGAATTCAGGACGACCGGCTCAACCAACAAGCCTGTCGAGGGGCTAAGCGACGGCTCTCCGATCGTCCTCCCCTGTCTTTTCGGCGCACTGCGTCTTCCAAATCCCTCGGACAGATACAAGCGACGCGTGAGCTCTTCCGGTCTGTCCCTGCTCTCGTTTCCGACTGACTAAACTAATCACGAGGACAAGTGTTTTCTCAGACGGCCACGCGCAACCCAATGTTGCGCGGCTATGCCGGGCGGCCTCCTCATGATTTCATTCATGACGGGAATCAAATTATCGCAAGAGAGAGGCGCGTGAAAAATCCACAGCGAACGAGACAGAGGTCGGAATGGATCGTTGAAGTTCCCCTCTCGAGCTCGTGAAAACACGCTATAGCGAGCTGAACACCAGTCGCTGCCTTAATTATGCGCGCGGCCGCACCATCCAAATGGCTAGTCGCTACTCTACCGACCGGCCTGCCTGCGCGATCCGGCGAGAATCCTGCTCATTCCGTGGGCTAGCTACGAGGCTCAAACGCATCGCTGCGCAGCGGCTGAGGCACTAATTCCAGTTTTTTGGCGCCAGAGAATAGCATCGCTCCCGTGGAACGAACCTTCGAATATGCGAAACCGCTGACGGTAAGGAAGGCCTCGGACAACTATGGCGGAACTGTCTCTTCTGGACCGACGATTCTCGCCACCGAGGAAGCCTATCGATTGACCGAGACCCGAACTTGACAGGGACGCTGAGACTGTCCACCGGGCCCGGATGTTTTTGCTGCGTCCGCACACCAATTTCCGCTTCTACCCCACTACTGAGGCTCTAGTGGGAAGAATCGAAACCAAGATGAATTCTAGCAGATATCCATCGATTACCGACTCCGGCGCGTGGCCTGCGTATGCGCTGATATTGATGTTAATTCGTTCTCCAGGTACTTGTCATCAGTCATCAGTAATCAGTATGATTCCTGAATGACGAAATTTTTACGAATATCCTGATCTGTGAGCGGGATATTATATCTGTGACGGGATCACCCCCGTCGAGGCTCGAAACCTTCGCAAAACATCAGATTACGAACGAGTGATGTTCAAACCGGGTCAGAGATGAACCGGTACGCGGAACGCAGGCAGCCGGCGCCCCCTCGAACAATTCATTGAAGGAGGAATGCGATCCCCTTCTTGAATATCCGCGAGTGCCTAATGGAATGACGATTGAGACTTTTGCCTAGACCCTGGACTTTCCAATTTTCGAGTACTATCTGATCTCCTCCGTGCCGCATATTCTCTTGATTTACCTAGACAAATCAGCGGCGTCCCGACTTTGTATCTATCATTCCCTTGGAATGGATGCGGAGGAAGGATTCATGATGCTCATGATTCTAGATTTAGCGACAGGCTCTCTCAATTCCTTTAGCAACCGATCCGCGGAGATCCGAGCCATGTCTCGGGTATGAATGGTCGGTCAGACAGGAGACAGGACCCGAAGCAGCTATCCTTGAAGAGGCTACCTCGGAAGACCCGATTGGAAAAGTCAAAACAAACCGAGCGCTTTCTTATCGCGGAATTGCGTTTCCTCCATTGAATGGTTGATTGGTTCGTTCGTGGGTCTGTCCGTACGTCTAGGTACTAGTTGCTTCTTATCTCCGGCCATTAGGGGCATCGATTCGTCTTGTGAACTTAATTAGATTCCTCCGTCTGTCGTTGTTGATATAAGCGGTGAGCTCGAGTAGACAGACATTCTCTCTTTTCGCCGAGGTTATCCGCCTAATTCTTGGGGTGAGATCACTCTCGCCTCATATTCTACGTGGTCGGTACCGGAATTCCGACTAAGAATGACATGAGCAGACCAATTGGGCTCTTCTGTCTCACCTATATGCGCGTACAGGGCTACAAAACCATAGCGGAGACGTATACTGAGCAAATCGTCGGGCATATCCGTGAGGGGACAAGCGGATCTTGCAACTCTAGCGAGTGTTGCCAGCAAACCTCTGCAAAACACTTCCCCCCCCCAGGTTAGGTGCTGTTTTGACCTAGGGAGAGACTCCGTGAGTCAAGTCTGTGGGACGGCGCTGCGGGAAGGTCGTCGCGTAGGAGTCGCCTTTCCAGTCGGATTCCAGGCAGGGAAGTTCTAGAAACCCCGGAAGATCCTGGTATATAAGTCGGAGGGGCCTTGAGAATGCTCTCGTGCAAATCTCCTGCTTGGATCGGGCTCAACCCTGCTTCGTTTTCCGGAGCTCCGATCGGGTATCTCTCCAAGCCTTCTACCGTCGCGTTACATCATCGAGTCGAATGATTTCAACGGCCCCCGCACCTCCTCCTTGTGAGATGTGCTCTGGTGAAGCGAAGTTGTGATCGAGTCATCAGAATTTTCCGTGAAGGAAAAGGCATTCGCGGTACCCGCTCGAACGGGCAGACGGAAGCCCATACGATCAGGTGTATTCGAACCCTGAAGACGCAAGATGCCCCAACGCCAGCAACTCCCGATTTCGCTTTCGAGAGCGTGGATTGGGTTGCAGGCGGAGCACGAGACACCCGTTTCGCGGGATCATTTGAATAAACGGGAGCCACACGGCGGCGAATGGTGCAAGTAGGTAAATGAAGTATGGGAGGTATGAATGATAAAACGACGTCCGCATTTCATCATCGTTGGCATCATGTGCGCCGTTCTGTATATCGCCGCAGTAAGTGGTCTTGCCCAAAGAGGAGCGATTTCATATCGTGCCCGAGCAGTATGGGAGGCATAATGGGAAAAATATTCACCGGGAGATTCCTCCTCGTCGTCGTTCTCTTTCTCTCTCCCTCTCTCTCTCCTTCGCTTCCAGTTTGGTCCGAGTTATCCACGAGCTGCTCTCGAGGGATTTCGGCCGAAAACTGTCCCCGAAGTCGACGATGATGATAAGACCAATCTCTGGCCCGGGAGAGAAAGTCAACTCAAATCGAACGCTCTTCTCTGCCTCCGGCTCCTTTATCCTTCCTCCGGGCCGGATAAGCACCGATCTCCCTGAGTCTGTTTGTAAATAGCAGATCATCAATATCAACAACGAGCGACTTGCAAACAATTACTAATCCCGGAGGGGAGGAAGCGACGGGAGACACTCGATGAGGAGTAGACTACAGGAGAGGATATTCACTGGTTCGGAGGCTTGGCAGGAGCATACATAGTACCTACTACATACATATATGCTAGAGACTCGTAGACTAAGATTCACAAAGGCGCTTCTCGGGGAAGTGATTACGGTATGAGAAGCTTGTTGTCATCCACCGTAAAACCTGTGAGGCGAGCGGATCCGGGTTCGGTGTATGGTACAATGTTGCGACTCGGCATTCCGCTGAACCTAGCCCAGGGAAGAAAACTCTTCGATCAAACCAATACAGTTTCCTTTATTTCTCTCATCATCAGCAAGTATTCATGATATTTTCCTCATGATTACCTTCTCCTTGAATGATTCTTCCTTCTGTAGAAATCTAATGCACAATTCCGAATTCGTCTCGAGTCCCAATTAGCGTTTTTCGGATTGATTCCGTCACGGGAGGAAACTGTCGACAGCTCTGGGCGCCGAGATCCTCGGCTGACAACAGAGCGGGCTCTGAGACCACGAGTACCGGGTTCCGGCTCGCCGATAGAGATACTATATAAGTTAACGGAGCGTGATATAGATTCATATACATAATAATCGTCTGATGGCTCGGCGATGGCAGATGTGAACAGGTGAAGTTGGAGAGTTGGATGAGTTTACGGCAGGGTTGCTTTTGGTCGCTCCGATCAGCACTGGACATTGTACCACCAATCGCAGACACCTTTCTTCTGGCTGAAGATCGTTCCGGCAGCGCACAAGAAACTGTGGCGTGCCTTGGCGACCTTCGTCACACCCGTGCAAATGTGCCAGACCTATATTTGGGGAAAAAAAGTCCTTAGAGACAGTTTTTTGTTTGACAGCCTCAAAGACTTGGGGCAAATCATATCCTCGATAGGCATCCAATGACTCAGACTGGATGGACCTTCATAGAGGGACTCTTCTGAACCCGGACTCCACTATGGTTACTGCGAGAATATTTCCTGAGCAGACCAGAGGAAGAGGAAATTGGATACAAACAAAAATTGGGAGTACGAACCTGACATCCGGCTTCCTTATCAGCGTACGTTCCAGCGATATTTTTATTCTCGCAGGTGAAACTGGTTTCTGGTATCTGCACGTATACGGGGTAGTCGACGCCGGGGATGCCTGAACGTTCGCACAGTGTATGTAATGTTCGATATGCCGCAGGATTTTCAAATAATGATCCCAATATTCGATCCGGCTCCGAAATTTTTTTCGGGAGCCGAGCTATTTCTCCTGCCGAATCAATGATGGAGCGACCTCCCCCTTCTGTATCAAGTGAGCGCAGCTCTCGGTGGATGTTTGAGGGTTACCGTTTTCGGAATTTTAGAAAGCTCTATCATGTGCTGATAACGCATATACTGAAGCTTCGATTTTTCTCCGCGGCCTATTTTCAAATCGGGAATCGATAACTCGTGTGCGCCCTTCGATACTGAACCCCATTCTGCCACGAGAAGCCTCCGGATATATGTATAGTACCCAACTCCGTGGATAGTCTGTGGGGATCGAGCGGATCTGCTGGAGTATTGATGTCTTGATATAGTACGTCGCCAGCTAACGAGGCTTCGAACACAGACACGATCTGACGAATTATTATCCGCGAAAGCTACACGCGTGGTCCGAGTGCGATCTGCAGGTCTCGCAGGGATGTTAATGTATCGAGCTGCAGCTATCGATTCATCAAGAGAGCTTCAGCTTCTCATTGACCGCTTGAAACTCTGATCGCCGATCATTTCCAGCGAAGCTTGATGTAAGCGAGCCGATCGTCATTGCATTAATGCTTGTTTGGCGCTTGTATTTCTGGATCAATATAGGACGGCCTTCATAGGCCTATCGCTCCTTGAGAGATGACAAGAGTCTCATTTCTCATTGACGGCAGATATTTTCGTGAAGATTAGAGAATTCAGAGAGGAACGCGATGGAGTTCGGGACAGCGACTCACCTTTCTTAGATGATCTGCGGCGATTCGAGGCTGAGCCAGTTTTGAACTTCTTTTCCAGGAGTTCCTTCTTATACTTCTCTTTCTCCTTCTTGCCTTTAGGCTTCTTACCGCTTTTTTGCAGGAATGCTTCGCCCCAAACCGATTTCGGGTGGTATGAGAAACTCTGGAAAGAAGCAGGAGGTCACGAATACAGCATGGAGCCTGCCATATGGGGGTTTCGAGAACAAAACTCTAGGGAGCTCCCTGTCGCCAAGACGGAGAATCAGAGCAGAACGCTGGTGTTCCCCGAGGTAAGGGAAACTTAAGCTTTGAACTCCATTCATTCTCCCGAAACGATGACATGAGCACAATCTGTTATAGGAACAACTTCGAGGATACTGAACCTCATTTCATTCCCTCGTTCATCTCCCTCGGATGGGAGACCATCGAGAGGCGATCAAGCCGACTGCGGACGCGCAGCCGCCCGATTCTTGGCAGCGTCAAACGTCATTTTGACGGTGCAGCGAAAGCACTCTCTTGTCGCAGTTCTCCGCATTTCCGGGGACCGGCGAGAGAGTCGAAATGACCACATCGGAACGTCCGAGCCGTGGATGTTCGGTGGAACTCATGCCGCTTCTAATCTTTCCGTCTAATTGTAAATTGCAGCATCCGGTGTCATTGAATATTGGACCTTTCCGTGTTCTTTTTCGATTCGAAGATAGCCCGCATGGTGACGTGAGCTACAGGAATCGAATCGTGAGTCAGGTGTGCTGAAAAGGGCATTTATCGGCGGTTCATTGGGATTCGATCGATTCCGCCGAATTCATGAGTGGAAAGATATCTCAGGATCGCGGGAGAACAGCATAGCTTATAGACGTGTCTGTGGGAAGCCTTCGGAGTGCATCCCTTCGGACGATTGCGACGATGCCTACGCGTGGACATTCCTGCATCGGTCCTCCCTGCTGATTCCTCCGGCAGCAGCCGCGGGGTTGAAAAATCGAGTGCCATTGAGTGGAGTGGTAACCTTGCACACTTTAGGAAATCACATCGATCCCGCCGGAGATCGCAGTCTCCCATCGGCACAACCAAGAACTCAGTGCCGATGATTCTTTGAACAAGTTTCGAAGGTTTGGCGCTCTCTCGCCGAAATAGAACACATTTTGCGTGATTCCGCGCGTAACTGTGGAGAGGGACCGAGAGAGTCGTGAAGCTCCGCTGAAACTTCTACGCCGCTCTCCGTCCGGGAATGGTTTTGAAGAACATGACTTCTATGTATTTCAGTTAACTCCTTCTTTTCTCTCGGACTGATCAGAAGTGAAGGTACAGGACGTTGTAGATTTATCGTGGCCAAAGACCCGCACGAGTCGGAGACTCCCCCGGGACGTTCAGGACCTGAATTCGAAGAATCTACTCGCAGAGTCAAGACACGACCAGAGAAGAATTTTGATATTTAGTTATGAAGTGATTACGGAAATTCGGTAACCACAAGACCCATGAAGAGTCACGACGTCCCCATTAAGATTGTCTATGATTTGTTCCATGCCCTATCAGGGGGATCTATCTTGAATTTCCGTGATTGAGGATCAATCAGTCACCTCTTCGTGATTCCAATAGATTTGTGGATCCCTTGGAGCGGAGGAGACGATCGTGTGATGAGGTGTAATCAATATATTGCTTACTTCGATGCAAGACGACAAAGTACATGGCGTCGAATGCGCTCGGGAAGAGTTTCTTTGAAAAAAAGAGTTATAAACCGTGGTCCTCCTGCTTTTTGAGGAAGATATGGGCCACAATTTATTCTTCCGGAAGAACGATCCGACGCCTTTCCGGCCCACCTGGTCGAAAACTTGTCCCCTCCGCCTACGCGTTGGAGTTCGCATTCCCAAGCGCGAATCTACGGAGTCGCATGAGTTGTAACAGCCGATACCTAGCGGTGCTGACCACTCAGCCGCCAATCTATTGATTTTTCCTTTCCCTCGTGACTGAACCCAAGAATGCTCGTCATGGCGTCGGGAAGTGGATCATGCATCACGTCAGCCATGGACAACAAAATCGATCTGATAGCTCAAGTGGATTCATGAGTTTAAGAAATACAATAATCCCCATCCGTTCATTAAGTCGCCGCTCGACTTGCCCACGCATTTATCGAGGGTCGTCCTTCCCAATGCGCTATCGGTCCCTTGACCAATAATTCCGACCAACTAAAATCACAAGCTCCTTCACGTGTGCACAAAACTGTGACACAACTCAATAACGATCAAGCTTCCATGATTTATACGTTGTCATTAGGGCGCCGTCGACGAGGAACGTAGATATTTATTATCAGTATAAACATCCAATTCAACGACGTACGGTCAACGATGAGGTTTTTTCCTGTTCGAACTTTCGTGCCAAGCCTGATCAGAATCACTCCCGGCAAGCAACGTGATCTTTAGCACGAGTGGGGAATTGAGGAGCGCAGGATTAAATCCACGAAAGCTGAATCAAGTCACCACGTTTCATGCCGATTAGGGTATGTCGTAACCGTGTGAAAATGAGGATTTTTATGGCCCCTGATAATCACGAGAAGGCTAGGCATGCGTCCCGATTCTCGCTTTCACAGCCTTTCACACTTTTTTCAACCGCTCCGTCTCCGTAGCGCTCCCGAAACGAGCACTCCGATCCTGGGACTGATCTCGAAGCAAGTCGAGCTCCAAGACCTGTGTTTTCGAATTTCGCGGGATTGATCCCGCGATATTCCCCCCGGTATTCATATAAACGAAACGATATCTCACGACGGATACTCGCCATAACATGGAAGTCGCACCTTCACGTTAATTATGACGATCATTATCAGAGTCGCTCGACATGTAAGTTGAGCCTCTCGGCGACGGAAACTGTGTATGTTTGGATCAATTAAAGGGGAACACCGTGTGTGCAAGTTTAGAAAGTGACATCCAGAATATTCAAGCATATAGCTTTGCTGCGGCTGTATGCAGCAGCACTTTCGCCGCGCCGACCCAAGCATCAATGGGCGCGGAGGTCATCGAGCAGCGATACTTCCGACAGTCCCAACATTGGGACCTTGACAAGCCGATGGCAGCCAACCCTACGAGCTATGGACGGGTGAACCACTGTGAACGCTGCTCTTGAACGTCGTATGTCTGAGAGTCGATGAGGAAAAGACGGGGATCAGCCGCTCTCAACGTTGAAGTAACCAGAACACTTTCCAGCATTGCAGGAGTTAGTTCATAAGATCAATACCCGTTTTCTCGAATTTTGAGAGGCAGGGACCCTGGCTTGACCCACCTCGAGGAACATCTCTATCGAACTCGTCCGAGGCTGTTTCTGTGTTGATAAATCGCTCCCTCTCAAACTGACATTTAGGGAAAGGTGCCGGTTTCGGACCGCTTAACGAAACTTCATCGTCATTTCCTCGAATATCTGCACCGAAAGGCTCCGCTCTTCAGATCTTCTTTCCGGAGTTCATCGCTCGAGGATTATGTCATTCTCGGCCATGCGATTGAGCGAAAGCGGCGGAGATGCTTCACTGGAAGACGCTTCCACGAGTTTTTGTCTTGGATCGCCGGGAACACGATGAGAGGGCCTAAGTGGTTTTTATCGACCACGTAAATATTCAAGGATCCGTCCACATTCATCCCCTGCGCCACCGCCTTCCGGCGATGATCGCTTGATTTTGACGACTCAAGCTGGGAATACGGGACGATATCATTCACAAAACTCGATTGAATTTTGAGTTGAAAAATTTTCGGTTCAATCCAGAGTTGTAATATCATCGGCGAGAGTTCACCGAGGAAAAGTAGGAGCCGGGCTCACCGATACGATTAAAATATCGGAGACTGGTCTTTCGGATTCGCGCGAGATTTTTGGTCGTCGTGTGTCGAAGTCGTCGGAGGCAGCGCCGGCGGCGCTGGTGCTGGGAGTAAGGAGTCTTCTATCTTTGGAGAAGTTCGCTCATGTGGAAAACGATGTTTTTATCTATACTTTGCACTAGGGACGACACAGGCCCGAGAGATTAGCGCCGTCCAGTTTGGGTGCATCCGCGCGCGCCTGCCGCCCGCTCCCTTGGCGAGATATTGAGTGCGCAAGTGTCTGCATACCCATTCCAGCGCCACGGAGGCATTGGAGGATGTTTTGCGAATCTCTGGGCAGAGCAGAACAATTTGAATTTCAATGGAGCTCTGCGCACTACGAATTCGAGTTTGAGCTCTGACGGCACCGTCGTCGCGCTAGCAGTTGATCAAAGACTTCCGAGGACTCGAGACGCATCCAATTATCAGAAGTTCTATCGCGTTCGATCTCGTTTTCGACTTCAGCTCTCACGCCTCCTGGTTTTTATTCCCGCTTCCCTCATCTCATCCTTGTCCCCGTCATCACCGCGGTCGTGGTGTCTTTGAGATTGAAATGCTCGTCAAGTCATCCATCGGAGATTTCCGTTTGATGACCGCGAATTCAAATGATCAAGAGAAGTTCTACCACGGCTACTTGAGATTCTGGCGCGCGGCTTTCCGACGCTCCCGAGCGTGAAATGAATTAGAATCCATTCAGCGATCGGGCACGTATAGGTAGGCATTCTCGCGACTTCAGTAAGGCATATGTTCCTATTCCGGAATCCCAAGGTGTAAAACCTTTGTGGAAGAACGGGCTTTCTCGCCGAGCACGTCACGAGAAACTCCAATGATTTCTGGTCTCTGGGGAAACCTAGGGAGATTTGGACTCGAGCGAAATGGATCGTCGTCGATGCTTCAGGTTTCGGAGACGAACGTACGAATACTTTTGAGTAGTACTTTTGAGTCGAGCCCTCACCAGGTATCCATATATAATCATCATAATCGAGCCTTTCCGCAAGCTCTCCAGACGCTTCACAAAAGGATGCTTGATGGAGGAAATAATTTTCTGGGAAGCCATCGGCAACTTCGTTCGGGCGATGGCTGGCATAAATGAGCATGTTTCATAAACATCCGTGAACATCTTCGCCGACTTGATGACATCCGAGTAAAAAGTTTATTTGCCGCCGCAGCGTATGCTTTCGGTACTTCACCAGACGAGTCCATCCATCGCCCGCGACCGTTCCCGAGACGAATTCTTCCTCGAGCTTTCTGTAAGCAGCTTTTCAGCACAAGCGCTGTCGCAAATTTTCACAGAGATCGCTTCAATTGCTCGAAGGTCTTGAGCGACGCACAGGCTCCTCTGCCGCCCTACAAGGGTCTAACTGATCACGTTTCGGATCGCGTCTCCACGATCCTATCTTCGCCTCGCTGCCGCTACTTTCGCTTGTCCCAGCATCAAAAGAGCGTCAAGGAATCGTCGGCCGATTGTATCGAAGTGAGAAAAGGGACTTGGCTCCCGAAAATGACCGCCCCTTCAACAATCTCTCAAAGCGACAGCCATAAGCGAGCCAAGTGATTTGGAATACAAAGTCTCGCCTTGTCAATCAGCGAACAGTAGTTCAGGAGGGAGCTGACTGCTAGCGGATCTGGTGCCGCTGTCACCCCTTGTTCGCGATCATGGGCCTGACTCGCTGTAGATCGATCTTGAATCCCCGCTGACTGTTGTGAGATTGTCTGTCTCTTCAGGTGTGACATTAATTTTCACCGTCTCCGCGTCATCGAGCTAGATCGGCTTCCAGATCCCTCTCCATGGGAACTCCTTTTCAGAATGCCAGCTCTTCAGGCGCAGAGAATAATTTGATCGCGAAAATTCACCCTAGCTTTGAACGCTAATTTGCTCCGACGTAACACGTCCAGCCTTTGCACTTGGAGGGTGATTCAGAGCCTCGTCTCTATCCATTCGTCATCATTGAACCGCTCACTGGGGATTCGCCTAAGATACGGAAAAAAATCGAGCTTACGGGAAGCCCGTTCAGGGACCGAGATGCAGCGGTCGAATGTCATGTATACATTCTCGTATACACACGAAACAAAACGAGATTTTTTCGCTGCCGGGTTCGTTTTCGGCGACTGACAGCGTAACTGTCGACTCGCGCGTGGGTGGTGAGCTATCAATTAATTAATTTTTATTCAGTTGCAATCACGATACTAATTGCCACGCGCCAAAAAGAGCGGCAACGCTGCAGATGTTCGCTAACGTGCCAAGCTCGCTTTCGAGCCTCGCATCTTTGATAGTGGGCGTACTACTGCGACCGGGCAACATGTATCTTGATTTGAACATTCCGAGTTACGGCGTCCGACTCATCCACAACCAATCATAGATGGAGAGGAGGGGACCAACTCCGGCAGAACATCGTGGGAAAATTCGAAAAACAAGCAATCGGGGAAGCGGATCCGTCGTTCCACCACGACTGGGACCGTCAGCGTTTCGAGTGACGGGTGGGCAGCCTTTCCGCTCGCTTGACGGCTCGTTAGCCAGCGATCGTATCTCTCTGTTCTTAAGTCAGCTCCGCTTAAGTGCATTCCGGTCTGATCAACCGAGTTTTAATTTGCTCAAGTAGATACACTGACCTACGGAGCTTCGCCGACTCTCGGAGAAGACAGAGACCGCCAGTCTTCCCCGAAAAGAAGTAGAGCAAGCAATATATCTGGGACTCCCCGCCTTGCGCCGGCTGAGTTCCGAGCTCACCGATTCCCTCTCGATTTACAACATCGGCTCATCTGATACTGCTGCTTCGGATATCGATAGGGGGGGGCATCGTCGGAAAAGCCGTACTCTTCAAGAGAATCATATACCTATGTTTTCGGATCTGACTCTCTCGCGACTCCGAAGCCCAGAGTTGGCTCCTTTGGTCCCCCGACGCGCGTGGCTCCCGTGTCGCCGTGCATTTTCATCTGAGCGGACGGATGGCCATACTCTCATCGAAAATGTCCCACTCACCTTCTTCGGAGTCGTGACCAATCCAAGAGGCGGCTGGATGCTGATCTCTATGTTCGAGGGTTTGGGGACAAATCCATCCAGCGAGTAAGCTTGGGGTCGTGTGGGTCGGGGGCGCATGAGTTTCTCAGGGGGAGCCACAGTCGTTCCCGAGTCATGAATTCTGGAAATAAAACTTCGAATGAGCCAATGACGCTGCTGAACGATTCTCATGAAACAATGTTCTCGGAGCTTCCACGGCAGAGCGAAGGGCTTCGGTCCCAAACGAGTTTTCGGCAAGTTTGTCTTGCAAATCGCCTTAATACGATCTTGACTTTCACAGACAAGACCCGATCGATGGATTAATTCAGTGAGTGAGAGAGATGAGACTGCAGCGAGCTTGATTCAGAAACAACTTCACGCCGCGCCGCCGGGAAACCGGAGGATGCATGCCGATAGGAGACAATGAAAGGGAAACGAATCATCAGAGCATCGGAACAAGACCGCTAGCTGCAGAAAGTATCGGCATTGACGGCTCGATAAGAAGATTATGACGTGAGCAAGGTTCCATTTTTTCCAAGTGCCCTGATTGTCCTCCTTATTCCTTCATGGGTCGTTGTTTCTGTGTTCATTCGACGGCGACGACGCGACGTCGGCGAACGTCCCGCTTTGATCGAAGATTATTCCCGGGATAATAATACGAGTCCTAAAGGTCAGAACTAAGCTCTCTCGCAGGATATGCAACGAATGTTCCAAGTTGTTTCCCTCATATCCTGGACCCTGTTCTTTGTCCCTCCTGTCGCACTTGCTCCATCATTCGCTCTGCAGAAAACCCTTGGGCGATGCGATGCTTATCCACGAACTTTGAGCTCGATAAATGACTCTCTGTCCAGTACGAAGCAGTCGTAGACCACGTCGTGTTCATTTGCTCTGGCCTGGAAAAGGAGTGTTCTCGCATATCTACCGATTTGCGTCGTCGATAACGAGCTCTTGAAGTAGTCTGACAGAAGTTGCTCTGTACCAGAACTATAGCCGCCGTCCGCGCTTGGGCTATATTTGGAGCAGTCTCAAAGATCTGAAGAATGGGACACGAAACAGGATCTTTCCTGCATTCAAGATTTTCACTTTCCTCTTGCTTCGTTTTCTTCTTTCTTTTTTTTACTTTCCGTTCCAAGATGCCGCCCCGGGGCTCGGGGCTCATACGAGACTCGACGTTGTGAGCCATATTTGCCCCCAGGGTAGAAGTCTTTTTGGCGGTGTTTGATTTGTGGCACGATTTTCATTTCGTAAGCTATTTCATATTTACAGTTCTCGAGAGTAATTTCATCGCAACGAACGTCATCAACGACAACGGACCATTCTCTGACTGCGATGCTTGGATTTTTGTTGCCTCTCATTCGACGGGACACATCAGAGAAAAAAACGACACTCATTTCCAACAGACGCACTGTCGCGGAAAAGTTGTCAAGAGCCCAATCGTATTCATCCGACAATGATTCCGAATGTAAGTTGCTGTGAAGCGCGTCGACTGAGGCCGACGTCGGCAGACGGAGCGACTCCGCTGGAACCCTCGGGATTCATCCCGCGATCCAGAGCCATCGATCGTCTCCCTATGACCACCCTCTCTTATTCGACTGCTTATTCGGCTGGCTTATCAGGCGACCCGATCCAATTTCAATTATTGAAAAGCGCGGCATCGCATTGTTTCGGACGACTATCCAGCGACGATCTTCACGCGGCAACTGACGGCTGCCTCTGCTGTCGGTAGCGCACCAGCCTAGCGATAGACGGGTGAACAGACAAATAAACAAATAATTTAAGAAATTCAAAGATAGTCGCGGGACACGTTCCACCATCATGACGTGAATGTTTCCGAAACTGTTTTCCAGGACAGTCACATCAGACTGAATTCGGCTGCAATGTCTTTTTATTCTACTATGGCGCGCTTCACGAATACGGAGGCAACCAATTGAGATTGGTTACGGGCTAGAATCGATCCGTACGCTCCGGCAGGAAACCCCGCTCACTCTGCGGTTGAGTGCGCTCTACCACATGGATTCAAAATGGAGCTGCGTTGGAGTCGGAAGCGAAACGCCGAATCCTTCTTAGGGTTGCGGGGACGAAAACTCGTGAATTCGGCGATTGAATCAAACATCAGGAGAAGCTTAGTGAATGAAGGATGAAGCCGTGACGTATCAGGGCCCTTGCTCCGACCGCTGGCCAAAATTCAAAATGACAGTGTGCCATATTGGATGCGCGCAAGTCATTCTCGAGACGGCGATGACGAAAGGCCGCAAATGGTCCTGTCGTCGACGTCGTCGCAGTGAAGAACAGAAAACAAGAAGCGAGCGAGCCCTAGTAGTGAGTCAAGGTCCCGCGTACCCTAAACGCGTCGACGGGCGTCCGGGCGAGCTAACCCAGCAGGCGGGGAGAGCGAAGCGCGCGATAAAAATCGATATTTTTCAATCTTCCGACGATGCCGACACTTGTGATTCACATACGCACCGGTTCACAGCCCAATAAATGATCAGACACGCTAGCGGACAAGCACTCACGAAAAGCTACACCAGGAACACATACAGGGTCCGCGCATTATCTCCGGCGACGATTTGTATTTAGAGCTAATACCACCGCCGCTGCCGACGCAAACGCCGCGACTGAACACCGCGAAGCTCTATGGTATCGAGGCCTTCTGCGTTCTTTTCATCCGCATTATCTTCTGACTGTTGCGCATAATCGAGCACGGGTCAAAGATTCGGAGAAAAGAAAATAACATTGTTCGTTTCTCTGCTCAAATTCATCGTCGAAACAAGATGGTACGCGAAGGATCTTATGTTCAAATTAGAGCTGCCAGCTCGAATCAGATCAGATCGAATTCTGAGGCATTCGGAAACTTCGGTGCATTATCTCATGGTGTATTCGATCCGAATATTCACTGGGGCATGCGAACCGAGAAGCGCTCATGGATGGGATGGAGCTCAGTTAGAATCGAGCCTCTGTTGTACGGCGTGTATCTGGAAGAGAATGACATGGCGCTGGCCTGGATACTCCGATTCGTCGCGGCTCATACGATGGAGATGAATTTCGCCGTGTACCTAATCGAGAGCCTATTGAGAGAAATTAGGCATGGTCGCCTGAGGATCGAGGAAGAACGCGTGAGAGACCGAGGGAAACGCCACTCCACCACGCGATTCTGCGCGAGCTCTGGTCAATCACCGATTCCACCTGTCGGCGCAGAGTTCCTTCGTGAGCGCTCCGGAGCCTCGCACCAGGAAGGAGGAGAACTTCCCGTTTCTAGCGGATGACCGACGTGATTCCGGTGCGACTGAACCCAGGACTTCTCGTTGTCTCCACTTTTCAAAAATAATTACTTTTTTGATGCACGATTATTGATTACCGCCTGCTCGAAGGGCCATGAACTGGAGCTTCGCGACCACAGCCGATTGCTCAATTTCGCTAATGCGAAAATCACCGGACTGGTCATTGAGGTAATTGAAAACCATAGTTTCATAAAACGAAGCGCCTTCGAGACAACTCTGAATAGCTTCTCTCCGAATTGATGAATCCCAACCACAGATCATTAGGTCAAACTCCGAAAGATTTGAAACGTCTCGATTTGCACGACCGCATGGCTACGAGCTTTGATTGTTCCTGATTCTGGCTGTGGAGGTAGTACTACGGAAATCGGTTTGCGCGAGGAAAGGACCACCAGTCGAGTTGCCTTTGGAGTCAGACTGTACCAAACAAATGACCCACGGGTAATTCATGAGATATGACTCCAATCGGGCTGGATGAGTAAATATACGGCAATTATCCTCATTACACGAATCATTCCGCTTGAAAGGTGAATTCAAAAGCGCCTCCGGTCAGATTCGCGCGAGAGAGTCATCGGAAGGAACCGCGATCTCGAATGACAGACTTTCATAGTGTGTGCTATCACTGATAAGCATGCAATAGAAGAAACACTGCTAGATCGATCCATTCATGAACCATCCTCATTGAGCATCCCTCTCGATGGCAGTCAGGTTGCTGTTTTTCGCGGTATATCTGGGACGGATCCTCGCGTCGTAAACTTCGATGAACATCACCTCATCATGAGTCGAAATTCGGTCACAAATCGCTCTGACTTCTAATTCTGGCGGTTGAGTTTACTGATTGACAGAAGTGATGCTCTATGAATGTGAAATGGACAGATGACTCGAATTTTTCAATCAGATTTTAACTCGATGGATTCATCGAAACAACGATTCCATCGTTCTCTCCATCATGCCGGGTGCGAATCCTAAGGAAATAAGCGAATCGCTGATGATGACCATTGATGTATTTGTCCATTTCGCATCGAATATCTACTCGGAATAAAAGATTGACAGACGATCAAGTCGGATCCCCTGAGCAATTTACCGATAAACTCGATGCGGAAACCTCATTTCGAGCGCAAGCGCGTGAACTGAGCGAAGAAGAGCATCGGGAATCATTCGCGGATTGAAGCCGCTCCGGGTTGCTTTGCAGCAGTGAGCCGCCTCATTAAATCATATTGGTGAGATCAGAAGCCTAATGATTGACCTCTTCATTGACCGCGTACCCCGATTGTATTTCGTATGCTTTTCTTTCTCGCCCGTCTCAGCTTCGGGACGGCCCGAATCGGCGACCCCTTGTTTCTTCGGCTGTGAATCGCAATCGGATTTTCCAATTAGAGTAGTCAGAATCCCATTAGGACTTATCACGTCCCGGAGAAGGTTGCGCAGAAATTAAACTTTAGTCTGGCACTTGACAGTCGTCTACGGGAAAGAAAAGCCTGATCGAACGAATCTAGCATTGGATTCAATGTCTAATTGCGATCGCAGCCGCATCCAGCAGCAAGTCTATTGCTGTTTCACGGAGTCATAGAAATCGGCATGAAAGCCGGACCCATCGAGAGACTCAGGCTCCCTGCCAGTATGTCAGCATTGGATGACTTTATTCTTCGAACGCTGTTCCGAGCAGATATTTTACCGACTTGCTTTCAGAAGCAATCATGGGAATCGATCAGAGCTAATCTGACGGTGAGGAGAAAGTTATACGGGGGGACTCGTCAGACGAGACGATCAAGGCAGAGTCCTTAATTTCATGTCGAAATTCACTTTTTCATGTTGATCAAGGCCTGCTCTACGACCGTTTGATCCGGACGTCGATCTCATGATCGCGAAAAGTATCGACATACGTGCGTCATTATGTCGCGGTCTCGCCCCGTTTTTCGCCGGAAACGAAACCCCTGGGAAGCCTCCTGTCTAGGCGTGGTACACGGCCTCAGGCAGAACGGAACTGTTTGTCGCTGCCGAGATGTTGTTGTTCAATTTCTCGACTATCAATCTTCGCACTGGTATCGCGCTTTCTTCTGTGTTCACTATATATTAATCGTATATTGTTTGTTGCGCTATTATTTTTCTACGTGTGCTCTTCTGCCTTTCAGTTTCAGGGTCTCTATCTTTGCATTTTGTTCATCAGGGGCCTTATCTGGTTCGAGGTCACTTTTTCTTCGTTCCCTTCTGCACACAAGCGACGAGCTCGAGTGAAAAGAAAAGGGACCAGATCGAGGTAGATTCATCAGAAAATGAGATGTTTTCGGAGGGGTTCCCTGATGCTTGACACATTCATGATACCTAACGGTCAACATGCATACCTGAACACGAGGCTGTGAAGCGGTGAGGACCTTCCTCCGCACAGGTCGAAGTTCGGATATGTCGGATTACCAATCGCAGATTGAACCACGAATCGAATGTTTGCATACCAGTGCACGACTAAGCGTTGCATCTATCGCCGAGAGAGCGAGTGCTTCCGTAGAAAAGACTACCGAGCTCCAAGTGGGTTTTTCGACGAGTCTACCTTGAAACGCCAGTCAAGGGTCAATCAACCATTCCGAGTTGACAATCGTTCTAACCACAAACGGAATCAGCGTTTCGTTTTCCTTTATTTCACTTTCCTTCATTTCGGCCCCTTTGTCACCGCAAACTTTTGTCACTTTTCTGTTCAGAACTTCTACCTCGCTCCAAGTGTCGTTTACTACGTCGTTCAGAGAGTCGTCCAATCGGGCGTCCGATTCGGAGAGTGTCAACATCTTATTGTCGTACTTGACTCAACGATTCCCTTTGCTTTCATCGTAAACTTATTAGGGATCACTACCGTCGGCTTTCACCAGCTTTCGGTAGACTGGGGTAATTCTGGGCAGAAAAGCCGAAACGAGCAGAACAAGGGCGAACAAACGATAAGTTGACCGCGGAGGGGGAGGGCACTGGATAAAGATCAGGACACAGGAAATCTGGAAAATACCAGCGGACTAAGGCGAGCTCCACGAGATTCAGGCAGCCGGGTCCATTCCGTCTCAGAGCCTGTGCTTGCAACGATGGATTCGCTTATCGCCGTGCCGGTGCAGAGCCGAGATATCTTTGTTCACACCGAGAATCATCCGAGAGGTCACGATTTTCCGTGTCTCTGACGTCCCCTTCTATCCATATTGTATTCGGGCGTTGTTTTCGCTTCTCGGATTTAAGTGATTCTCCCTCCCCTGACGAAAACAGCTACGGATGATACCTCGATCGTATAGGATGTTTTCTGGCGAAATCCAATCAACGAATGTTCACCTCAGAAAATATCAATACAACATGCAAAACGCTAAGCCTGGCGGCTGCCGGATCCGGCGTTTCGGCTGATTGGCGCGGTGAGAAAAATGTGAATTTGCCATCGTAAGCAGCCCCTCACGCGCTCACTTGGGGATCGGGAAGCTTCGGTTTGGCAGAAGCCAATGTTTCCGGTGACCGTTCCCCGACCAGAATTCTCTAATTGTAGGAAGCAGCAGCTCCTAACTCAATCGTCCGAATAGATTATTCCACCACAATGCCTATTTCGCGCACTGTCGTCGGAACGAAACACGAATTGGGCCAAAAATCGCGGACACGATTTTCACCACCCAGAACTACGGCGTCAGTGAGTCAGGGGTGTTTTTTCTTGTCGAAACGATTCGCCATTGTTCCCAGTCGGATGCTCGATTGTTTCACTCTTCTGTAATTTTGGTGATCATCCTATCATGTAGTGGAAATTACCGCCGAATATGCCCATTCAATGAATCATTGTGGTAGATGATCGAAGCATGCTCGATTAATGAATTCTCTGCGGATGACCGTCCGATGAGAATTTCGGGAGAACAGAATAATTCTTGAAGGACGGATTTGACTCTGAAGGTTCGAGGTACAAGAATCACGGGATGCTCAGCACGAGACTCGTGAAAAGCGAGATAACTCCTTATATCCATTCGGAGTCATGAATTCGGGCAAGGCAGTCTCGAACGGTACCGGAGGATTCGGGAGAGCATCGTCAGCTCTTATCCCGTCGTTAAGATCGGGTTAATTTCCAGGTGGAAACTCAGAGCTCACCTGCTGAAGTGCTTGCGGGGAAGCTCCCAGAGGACGGAGGCTGGGCTGAGGTTTGTTGATGATGGATCGATGTCGTCTTTCTCAGCTCTTTTATCGTCATGATGTTTGTCTACCAGTCGAAGTCTTGGGGGGATTATCGGGAACTTCGAAGTGTAGGCCGTCCCCAATCGTCTCTGGAAGGCGGTTTGCGAAAACTTCTGCATCTCTTCTTCAGCCATGCGACGTTTGTAGAGACGCTGGAAAGAACAACAAGGGTAACGAATTACATCAATCGTCAAACAGCTAGTGTTATTTTGTAAGAGTCCGTAACATATTCTTTTGTTCCCGGCCCTTATCTGCAACTCCGGTACGATGTCGAGCCGACAAGTCAGCTGCTAAGTAAGGATTTCGTGGGAAGAATGCAATCCCGCTTCGGAAACAGAAGAGAAGGAATCGTTGGTAGATTTTCCCCGCCGGCTTCCCTCGACAAGACCTTTTCCAAATGGAAGAGTAAGCAACTCATCTTTCGGGAGAGGTGTTCTCATAATAATTTATCTTAGTGGATGCGAGTTACGAGTCGATTTCACTCCGGAGCCGGCAGGGAATCTCATCCTGCCGCCAGAGATCAAGGTGCAGTAGAAGCTTCTCAGGGGCGAGAAATCTTGCGAACCGTCCAACAGGTATTCGCGTCCGAATGTTCTCCTCGCGAGAATTGCTCCGTAATAACCGATCTGATTAGCATTGGAGTAGATAGGACGGGGGCAAGGAAATCAGTCTCTTCTATTCGGAAGTTCATTATTGGGCCGGCTATAGCCGAGCCACCTCAGATTGATGATTCCGAAGGCTGGTCCGGGACCGAGCAATCGGTCCCTTGTAAACGACTGTGCGTAGTATACGGGTCCGTCATATAGGGGTTCTACTGAAGATAGATCCTCGCTGGAGGACAGTGGATCGAGAAGCTCGATCAAGAGCGGGGGTAAGCCGGAGTCTTGGGGTATCGAGGGCTCTAGAGGGATTGCGGGCTGTGGGCATCGGTCCCGCGGTACTCATCGCCGTCACCGCCGTCGAGCGCAGCGATTCGAACATGTTATGTATGAGATGCCCTACATGCGATGTCTCTCGTCGCAGCGACTCGCGTACGCACTCTTCCTACGTACGCGCGGCGTAAGACCGCATAATCAATCTTTCGCATGGAATACAGGGAGAAATAGCGATCGATCAAGGAGGGCATATCACCGCACGCGTCGAACAAGGAAGGCATACAGGAAAGTACGGCGCATCAGGCTGTCGGAGCGAGCGGCGTGCACTGTTTTATTTTTCCAGACTCCTGATCCGACTGAGAGCTCACACTCCGTGGTCTTGCCCGTACTTCCTCAGGATCATCGATCAAGGTATATTTTAGAAATTCCTTTGGCGCTCCACCGATCGTCGGGCAAGCACCATCACAACGAGCCCGAGCAAACAAATTGCGGCCGACCCGCTAGCGGATGGAGAACATCTTGTGTCGGGAAAAGGATACGGGGTAGTGGATATGATGGGCGAGAGTCTTCGGTTCGGCCCCCGGTTCCTCTGGGACGAAACGCGAACCGAGTCGGCGATCGGTCGGAGAGCCGTCAGTCGGTCAGTTCCGTCAGCCGGCCTGTTCTGTGTGAAAGGTGCAAGAACAACACGCGAAGTGACAGCAACATATTGTATTGACACCCTGCTCCGATCCATCATCTACGGCTTTATCTACTTCCCCTCGCCGGATGCCGCCCGGCAGTTTCCATTCAACCATTTGTTCTTCCATTGATTCATAGCCGTCCGATTCTCTTGTTCTTTTCTCCTTCGCGCAGTCATCGTTAAGCTGCTGCCTCCGGTCAAGCAGTCACTACCAGCCAATATTGTCAATCGGACAGAGGCGGGCCAGGCGCCGTAGCTGCCGCCGTGACCGCGGGAACTTTCACCGCTCTGATCATTGCGGCCACTTATTTCCACCACTCATAGTGGGTAGTAATACCTCCCGCACTCCCACTAAAGCGCAATTACCCCGCTCGGTGAATTGTTCAATAAGCGCTAACAATGACCAGCCGCCAGATAATACCATCAGGAACCCGTATCGAGTCACTATAGACATGACAGACGTTGTTACATCATCGGAGCTTATTGTGTTCCTCGCCGGCTTCACTTCAATGTTTCCTCTGACCGGAAAGTCTCCCCCATAACTCGGATGACGCCGACTCATTCAAGGAATCTCGAAGAACCGGAGTAGAGGTCTCCGGATTTGTGGTCGTCCACTGATTTCCTCGAGCGCGCTACGCTGCCTTCTTCACCTCCTGAGGGGGAAGTATGCACGGATATGATTTTCTCGTAGGTCTTCTCCGCATCTGGGTGTCCATCGAACCCCAAATCAGAATTGGAGCTCAACTCCTTGATCTGGCGAAAGAAAATCAAGAACCCCAATCGATTCAACCTGCCATTGCCGAAAATGGCCCGGTACCTTGAAACCCGGTCTCTAGGGGACCCCATTACGACCCCTTCACGCCGATCCAATGATCGTAAGCTCTGACTGATGTGTGGTGACTTTCAAGTTCAGAGGGTTCTCAGCAGTCTTCGGACCATTCTAGCAGTGAACCTGTCATTGCCAGAATTCCGGAATCGGGCCGTAGCGCCGTGCTGCGGATGCATGGGCTGGGCTTTCCACTAAACCAGACTCAGAACCCCCGACATCCACAAGTGTCGGTCGATGGACCTCCGGCCGCGGTCGAATTCCCCAATCAGGGAATATCACGCACTAACGGTGTGGAAGAGAGGTGTCTCTCCACCGTCAGTTATCTGACCTTGAACGAGTGACCTTGTTTGCGTTTTTCTGATAACGATCCCCTCGTTTTCGATATTCTCTGAGTAGAGTTGTCGAAATCAATAAATGCCTTTCGAAGCGCGACCGACGGTAATTCTGCCGGCACGCGCATTCCCGATGACATCATTCGGTAATCCTGAATGAAACTCCGTCAATATCACGGATGGGATGTCGGTCGCGAACTGCTCGTTTCTAACTTGCAACTCAATCGTCGTGGAATCAACGCGGGAACGACGAGCACGACAAAAGCGGCGTGAGAACAAGCGGCGTCAAATTTGGATTGACGGCCCGAAACTATTCGCTGGTCGCTTGAATCGTTACGAAACGGCTTGGAATCGAGACGTGACCCGTACGTTGGTGGCGATGGTCAGACTTACAGAATGGTCGAACAACAGACTTTCCATACATGGTTCCCCGGGTCCTGGGTCCGTCCAACGTCGGCAAGAGTATATTAGGGAGGATCTTCCTTTAATATTCTCGATGAGGTCGACCTTAGGTCTTGCTCTTCGATTAACCGAGAGAGATTTGAGGAGAACCGAGAAGCCCAGAGATTCTGGACCCGGAAAGTTCAGAGTCGCGGATCTGTTCGGAGGACTTCATGAGTCGAGCCCGAGTCCGTGCTCAGGTGAGTCAGAAGTGAATTGCATGCATCCACAGCTCGATTTCGCATGTTCATTACAAGTGGTGAGCTGGCTCGGCACGTAGCCCATCACGACGAGTCACGTTCCCCATCCTTCCTCTTTCTGATGGCCGTGGGTTTTTCCGTTAGCTTTTTCTAAGGACTCTTCTGCCCGCTGTTACGTGTCATTCAGTTTTTATGAATCGGGGAGTTATTTTTGCCAGCAACCGCTGGAACAATGATCCCGACTGCGGCACCTGCGAAGCTCAGTTGGGGAAGCATCGTCAATGATGTAACAGAATTTCGGATGGGTTCTACCGAGTTTTTTCAAAGACGGAAGGAATAAACAGTGATAACCACAAATAGAAAAATCCCACGCGGTCATTTCAGACTCCGGGAGAAGACCATCCATCTTCGCTGGTCGCTTCGGCTTCACGCTGTCCGCGATCGGGCAGAGTTTTTTCCTCTAACGGGACATTCTTTTTTTCAAAAAATAGAACCACTGAACGTTTCCCGGAGATCTCCACCTCCGTGGGAAACCGGACGCGCATCCCATCGTGGTGAGTTTCGACGCTGGTATCTCCCAATACAGGGGACAGCTGGCCGGGTCATGGATTACCACAACAACGTCGACAGCATGTTTCTATAATGTCATACCGGCTAGTGGAATGCGAGACACCCGTGTCATCATATTCACGGCCAAGTTCTTGGAGCGTCTACAAGCCGTAATCCAATTTCGATCAGAGTTCGCAGCTAGCGCGAAGAAGTGTAGAGACACACAGTTCAAGACGAAGAACTTTTGTGACACTCCCATTATTCGAGAACAGAACCCACTATGGGAGGCATGTCCCTAAATTCCATTTTCGTTCCTTGAGCCGCAGAATCCGAGCTGCACTCATTATTGTGCCTATGAGCCGGATCGGTTCTACATCGTCTCCTCGTCCGTCAAAAACGAGCCAAATGAAGAGTCCATGGCGATGAACATGCCCAAAACTCGTACGCCTGATCCTTCCTCGGAGCATTTCAGAATCTGTTCGCGATTGAAACGCATCAAAAGCGATTGCAAGTCGTCGTCATTCAGAACTCCTCAAAGGTCTTTTGAATATTATGTATTCCCTTCCGTTGAATTGACGTGAGGGCCGACTTTGGAATTTCTCGCTGCATAGTTTGACTCTCGATAACGATTATAATATACACAGTAGCTGACAGCCGTCAAAATCCAGAGATATCTGTGTGATTTCTGTCGGTATCGAATGCCCCACGTAATGAATGAGGCGTGGCTGCTGAGTCGGACTGAATGACACGACCCTTAACACCCACGTGAAAGGACCCCGGTAGCGAGCCTCGGGCAAATGACTCGCCTCCTGTGTGCGAGTTCGATTCAAACAAAAAAAATTGATCCGCGAATGATCTGTCAATCGCTGGAATCGCCTTGGACTTTCGGCACTCAGAGACGAGAGAACGCGGGCGCTTTGATCCGGTCGCTTTTGAAGCGCTCAAATCGAATGAAGCAAAGAGCTCATACGTGATCCGAGTTACTATTATACTCCGGACGGTATCCTCTAGCCGAGAATTAAAATAAAGATGGATGGCTCGTCGTGAGGGTGGACGATGATCAATTATAGCGGTTGTCCGAAAGAGCAGCACGTGCCGTCGTCGCGTAATGATGTGAGGTCGTTCCCGAGGATTTCCGCCTCAGAACAGAAGCTGCTCAGAATAAGTGGTTGTTTGTGTTTGTTTGTGACTGAATGGGAATCCGCACGGATCATTCATCTACAGAAATTTTCGTTATCAAGGCC